CTATCACTGCCCTACATAGTTAGCATGGCTAACACTACCCCTACACAGTTAGCATGGCTATCACTGCCCCTACATAGTTAGCATGGCTATCACTGCCCCTACATAGTTAGGATGGCTATCACTGCCCCTACACAGTTAGCATGGCTATCACTGCCCCTACATAGTTAGCATGGCTGTCACTGACCCTACACAGTTAGCATGGCCATGACTACCCCTACACAGTTAGCATGGCTATCACTGCCCCTACATAGTTAGCATGGCTGTCACTGCCCCTACATAGTTAGCATGGCCATGACTACCCCTACATAGTTAGGATGGCTATCACTGCCCCTACATAGTAGGCATAGCTATCACTACCCCTACACAGTTAGCATGGCTATCACTGCCCCAACACAGTTAGCATGGCTATCACTGCCCCTACACAGTTAGCATGGCTATCACTGCCCCTACATAGTTAGCATGGCTATCGCTGCCCCTACACAGTTAGCATGGCTATCACTGCCCCTACATAGTTAGCATGGCTGTCACTGACCCTACACAGTTAGCATGGCCATGACTACCCCTACACAGTTAGCATGGCTATCACTGCCCCTACATAGTTAGCATGGATGTCACTGCCCCTACATAGTTAGCATAGCCATGACTACCCCTACATAGTTAGGATGGCTATCACTGCCCCTACATAGTTAGCATGGCTATCACTGCCCCTACATAGGTAGCATGGCTATCACTACCCCTACATGGTTAGCATGGCTATCACTGCCCCTACATAGTTAGCATGGCTATCACTACTCCTACACAGTTAGCATGGCTATCACTGCCCCTACATAGTTAGCATAGCTATCACTGCCCTACATAGTTAGCATGGCTAACACTACCCCTACACAGTTAGCATGGCTATCACTGCCCCTACATAGTTAGCATGGCTATCACTGCCCCTACATAGTTAGCATAGCTAACACTGCCCCTACATAGTTAGCATGGCTATCACTGCCCCTACATAGTTAGCACAGCTATCACTGCCCTACATAGTTAGCATGGCTAACACTACCCCTACACAGTTAGCATGGCTATCACTGCCCCTACATAGTTAGCATGGCTATCACTGCCCCTACATAGTTAGGATGGCTATCACTGCCCCTACACAGTTAGCATGGCTATCACTGCCCCTACATAGTTAGCATGGCTGTCACTGACCCTACACAGTTAGCATTGCCATGACTACCCCTACACAGTTAGCATGGCTATCACTGCCCCTACATAGTTAGCATGGCTGTCACTGCCCCTACATAGTTAGCATGGCCATGACTACCCCTACATAGTTAGGATGGCTATCACTCCCCCTACATAGTAGGCATAGCTATCACTACCCCTACACAGTTAGCATGGCTATCACTGCCCAAACACAGTTAGCATGGCTATCACTGCCCCTACACAGTTAGCATGGCTATCACTGCCCCTACATAGTTAGCATGGCTATCACTGCCCCTACACAGTTAGCATGGCTATCACTGCCCCTACATAGTTAGCATGGCTGTCACTGACCCTACACAGTTAGCATGGCCATGACTACCCCTACACAGTTAGCATGGCTATCACTGCCCCTACATAGTTAGCATGGCTGTCACTGCCCCTACATAGTTAGCATGGCCATGACTACCCTTACATAGTTAGGATGGCTATCACTGCCCCTACATAGTTAGCATGGCTATCACTGCCCCTACATAGGTAGCATGGCTATCACTACCCCTACATGGTTAGCATGGCTATCACTGCCCCTACATAGTTAGCATGGCTATCACTACTCCTACACAGTTAGCATGGCTATCACTGCCCCTACATAGTTAGCATAGCTATCACTGCCCTACATAGTTAGCATGGCTAACACTACCCCTACACAGTTAGCATGGCTATCACTGCCCCTACATAGTTAGCATGGCTATCACTGCCCCTACATAGTTAGCATAGCTATCACTGCCCCTACATAGTTAGCATGGCTATCACTGCCCCTACATAGTTAGCATAGCTATCACTGCCCTACATAGTTAGCATGGCTAACACTACCCCTACACAGTTAGCATGGCTATCACTGCCCCTACATAGTTAGCATGGCTATCACTGCCCCTACATAGTTAGGATGGCTATCACTGCCCCTACACAGTTAGCATGGCTATCACTGCCCCTACATAGTTAGCATGGCTGTCACTGACCCTACACAGTTAGCATGGCCATGACTACCCCTACACAGTTAGCATGGCTATCACTGCCCCTACATAGTTAGCATGGCTGTCACTGCCCCTACATAGTTAGCATGGCCATGACTACCCCTACATAGTTAGGATGGCTATCACTGCCCCTACATAGTAGGCATAGCTATCACTGCCCCTACACAGTTAGCATGGCTATCACTGCCCCAACACAGTTAGCATGGCTATCACTGCCCCTACACAGTTAGCATGGCTATCACTGCCCCTACATAGTTAGCATGGCTATCACTGCCCCTATACAGTTAGCATGGCTATCATTGCCCCTACATAGTTAGCATGGCTGTCACTGACCCTACACAGTTAGCATGGCCATGACTACCCCTACAGTTAGCATGGCTATCACTGCCCCTACATAGTTAGCATGGCTGTCACTGCCCCTACATAGTAGGCATAGCTATCACTGCCCCTACACAGTTAGCATGGCTATCACTGCCCCAACACAGTTAGCATGGCTATCACTGCCCCTACACAGTTAGCATGGCTATCATTGCCCCTACATAGTTAGCATGGCTGTCACTGACCCTACACAGTTAGCATGGCCATGACTACCCCTACATAGTTAGGATGGCTATCACTGCCCCTACATAGTTAGCATGGCCATGACTACCCCTACATAGTTAGGATAGCTGTCACTGCCCCTACATAGTTAGCATGGCCATGACTACCCCTACATAGTTAGGATGGCTATGACTGCCCCTACATAGTAGGCATGGCTATCACTGCCCCTACACAGTTAGCATGGCTATCACTGCCCCTACACAGTTAGCATGGCTATCACCGCCCTACATAGTTAGGGACTAATTTTCCACGGGGATCAGGTTCATAGTCATGGTAGGACAGTTCTTTGATTTTGTTTATTTTGCTCAGGGTACTCGTAAGCCCACAGCCCGCCAAATGTTGAAAGGGAAATTATTGGCATTACTGTTAACATATAGTTGAAGTTTTACACATTCAGTGATAAAATGTCACTGGGGATGGTATTGGGGGGGTGGTCATATAAAAAGAGGGACTATTTTTAAGACTTTTTTTTTTTAAGAAGGGGGATGCCTTCCCCCCTCAACTCATGTACTGCTTACACTTCAACTCTCACAAACTTTACTGTTTCTGTTAAAGAATATCAACAGCCACAGTATGATGATGACGCCATCTTTAACTTTATGGATTATATTAGATATGCTGCTTAGGTTCAAGTGAAAAAGGCATTTTGCATGTAATCCAGAAAGTTCAGTTTTGGTTTCATCTGAACGGGGCATTTTTGTCAACGTTTTTGTGTCACCACTTCGGTCCTGGCAAAGCATTTGGCTAATTTCAACTTCAACTTCCAGTTAATTTTTCCATATAATCCAGATTTGAGAAATCTAGGACTAAAATCTGTCTTGTTAAAAGATTCCGCCAGCTGAGCTGTGGATTTCTGCAGCTCCTCCAGAGTTGAGATGGACCTTATGGCTGGTTCTGTAATCAGTACTGTCTCTGTTGGTTAAGGTGATCGGTCTTTTGTTTTTAGTTTCTTAGTTGAGTAATTCTTCTTCTCTTATCAGGTGGAGTTAAACAACACTGTTAGATTATTCAGAACTTTGATTATTGATTTATAACATTTGTTTACTTCTGTGGTCCTTGTGACACTTAGATGATTATTAAGTGTAAAAACTGCTGGAGGATTCTTCCTGTTAACAGGGAGTTTTTCCTCTCCACTGTCGCTACATGCATGCGTAGTGTGAGGAATTGCCTTTGAGTCAATGTCGATTCTATCAACTGATTTTCCTCAGATAGAGAACTTTGAATCAATTTGACTGGATGATCTGGTTGAACAGTAAAGGGCCTTGAGATGACATGTTGTGAATTGGCGCTATAGAAATAACCCAAATTTACAAGTTAAGGGAAACTAAGGTCTCAAATAATTTCATTTGAGGGTCATTGGACTAAATAAAATGAATTATTTTCATATTCATGTTTTGTATTTAAAGATGTTTCAGCTATGTGCAGCTTGATGTTATTCTGTTGCATCAAAGGTTATCATCTATCTCTCTTTTTAGCAGCAGGATATATGTTTATATCAAAGCAATCTATCATGTCACGGATTAAAAAACTCAGTAAGACCGTAATAGTGGAATAATTAAAGGATCTCAGCCAAATTGAGGTCCTGCAGATTAGCCTTAATAGGTGTTGAAACCAATGACCTGCAGCTTAATGAGGTTGTAAACGATCTGGCTGCTATTATTCTCAGTGACAGACGATGGCGCCACTGCGCAGGTGTAAAGCCCTGATATTTCCCAGAGGTTGGAGTCACCCTCGGTAAACTAAGCAGTTATTGAATGTCAACTAATTAAACAGACGTGAGGTGAATGTAACACAGTGTTTGAAAATACTGCATGAGGGAATATTAGGAATAAATTCAAAGCTGCTTTTGTCTTGCAGCACAGCCAATCAGCAAGTAATAATCTATTATATATTTATATAAATAAATGTAACATTTATGTTATTATTGTGGTTATAGTATTTGGATAAAACTAGGTGTGTTAAATGATTAGATTAATTGATCACTGATTTATTTGAAGGCTTTTACAAGTTTTTGGTGTGAGCCTCTCTCACCTCACCTCCCATTCCTGCCTCTCAATATCGCCTCTCCCTGATTGGCTGAGACTGTTTTCCTCCTGAATGGACTGCGATCTGATTGGCTGAGGCGTCGCTTTCGTCAAACATCCAAGGAGGGTTTTTACTGGAGGTTTCTTCGCTGTCAGCGACACATGTAGAACAAGCAGCTAACCGGGAGCGCAGACGAGAGTAGGTAGAGCGCGGACGGCCAGCTTCCACCTCCATCTCCTCCATCTTTTCTGGGGATCGTTGGCGGCATGCGGAGAGCTCGCGCTACGTCTCGCTGTGGACTCGTTTGGTTTCGACGCGCAGAGAAAGACGCGGTGAAGCGGTGACAGCAGAAGCGGTAAACATCCAGTGGAAATACTATCTGAAAACTCCGAGTCCATTTGCCGTCTCTCTCTCTCTCTGATCCACCGGTCCTCGCGCTGGTTCCGCTTGTCGCGCGGAGCTCGAGGCCAGCGCGTGCGCTACTGCGCACCCAGATTCTCTCCCTTTTTTCTTCTTTTTTTCTGTACCTGAACTTGTTTTTTGGGGACTTAACTGTTCTGTATCACCAAGTTTGCTGCCGTTTCACTTCAGAGACGCCAACAAGGTGAGTGTTGATGACATCTGTCGCCGCGCGCCGTGTTTACGCTCTTTAAACCCGTAGGTTAGGATTGTTTTGCTTCTTTTTTGCTGCTATTCTTCTATCCTCATCCTTTTTCCACCCTTTTACTCCACCATAACTCTAATGTGAAGTCTTGTAGCTTTGTTTCCGTTTCCAGGACTTCTTTGGCCAAATTGGCCGGTGGTGTAATTACTCGGTTTAACCCATTTAGGTTAAAAGCCTCCCCCCTTCTCTCCCTCTCTCTCTCTTCCTCGCTCTCTCCCCTCCCATCCCTTCAATCCTTCAGCTAAGAAGAAGAAGAAAAAAACTAAACAAAAACAAACTCCCTCCTCTAAATGGAACTTGACTAAATCCTGTCCTGTTTATGCATGGAGTCTCTTTCAGCTCCTATTTTTATTCATCTCCTTTTAGATTTAATCAGCACTAAGGCAGGCTGTAATTTTGTCCCTAAGAGCCATCACTAATGGGCTTACTGAATGCTTTCCTCCATCCATCCATCCCTCCATCCTAACTCTAATTGGCCTACCTGGCTTTCAGCAAAGATTTTTTTTTTGTTGCTTTATCCTGGCAAGTCAGTCCTGATCAAATTGGGAGGGATTACATCTAAAAGAGCCTCACATTAATTTCAGCTGGTCATTAGATTACAGTCATTACAGCAGGTTGTTCTGCAGTGTTGGTGCTCTGCATGTCTGACTGAAAGATGCAGCTTTTAAAACAGGAAAGCAGAAATAATTCCAACTTTTAATGCATTTCTGCTTTAGTTTAATCAATAAGATTTTCTGGGAAATCAGCTTCCACTGCTACAGATGGGTTTTAGTGGAGAAATGTGTGTTTTAGGTAACAAGGACTCATCAGGAATGATCCTGTAGGGCTGGAATTATCAAGCAGCCGAATATACTGGAAAAAAAAGACCTCCTGTGATTGGATGAGGGTTCGTTATGATTTATGGGTGCACAGAAAAGTGAAATCTGGATTTTAGTTTGAAGATAAAGAATGATTTCATGATTTCGAGTTAGTTGTTTTTAGTCACACAACACATGTAGTTGAAGGACGTTTTAAAATTAGTCTGCAGTTGTAATTCATATAAGTTGGAATAAATGTTTTTTAGTAAAGGAAACCCAGCAGATGGCATTGAGTCGGTGACTTTTAGCATTCTTGATGGTTGCTTGTAATGCGTCGTTAAATTGGTCCTCGGTACTGCATCATGCATGTAGCGACAGTGGAAAGGAAAATTGTAATTCTAACCGGAGATGAGCTATTCACACTTTACCTGCCTAAAACGATTTCTTTTTCTTTCCTTTTTAGGGGTATCTATCATTTTTAATGGATTACAACCACTTTAACCAGTAAAGAAAGAGAAGAAAATCTTTTTTTATTTTTTTTATTTTACAGAAGTGTATGTTTTTAAACCAAAACGTAATTATTATAGGTATTAAAAATGATCATGATGGGTTTAAATCATTATCGGATATATCATCTCCCAACAGATGTGACGAATAGTTGGCCTGGAAATAATCCGTTTGGCCTTCACTATTGATTGGTAGACTGCATTGAAAAAACAAAAAATACACTATATTGCCAAAAGTATTTGCTCACCTGCCTTGACTCACATATGAGCTTAAGTGACATCCCGTTCCTAATCCATAGGGTTCAATATGACGTCGGTCCACCCTTTGCAGCTAGAACAGCTTCAACTCTTCTGGGAAGGCTGTCCACAAGGTTTAGGAGTGTGTTTATGGGAATTTTTGACCATTCTTCCAGAAGCGCATTTGTGAGGTCGCACACTGATGTTGGACGAGAAGGCCTGGCTCTCAGTCTCCGCTCTAATTCATCCCAAAGGTGTTCTATCGGGTTGAGGTCAGGACTCTGTGCAGGCCAGTCAAGTTCATCCACACCAGACTCTGTCATCCATGTCTTTATGGACCTTGCTTTGTGCACTGGTGCACAGTCATGTTGGAAGAGGAAGGGGCCAGCTCCAAACTGTTCCCACAAAGTTGGGAGCATGGAATTGTCCAAAATGTCTTGGTATGCTGAAGCATTCAGAGTTCCTTTCACTGGAACTAAGGGGCCAAGCCCAGCTCCTGAAAAACAACCTCACACCATAATCCCCCCTCCACCAAACTTTACACTTGGCACAATGCAGTCAGACAAGTACCGTTCTCCTGGCAACCGCCAAACCCAGACCCGTCCATCAGATTGCCAGATGGAGAAGCGCGATTCGTCACTCCAGAGAACGCGTCTCCACTGCTCTAGAGTCCAGTGGCGGCGTGCTTTACACCACCGCATCCGACGCTTTGCATTGCACTTGGTGATGTATGGCTTGGATGCAGCTGCTCGACCATGGAAACCCATTCCATGAAGCTCTCTGCGCACTGTTCTTGAGCTAATCTGAAGGCCACATGAAGTTTGGAGGTCTGTAGTGATTGACTCTGCAGAAAGTTGGCGACCTCTTCGCACTATGCGCGTCAGCATCCGCTGACCCCGCTCCGTCAGTTTACGTGGCCTACCACTTCGTGGCTGAGTTGCTGTCGTTCCCAAACACTTCCATTTTCTTATAATACAGCTGACAGTTGACTGTGGAATATTTAGGAGCGAGGAAATTTCACGACTGGATTTGTTGCACAGGTGGCATCCTATCACAGTTCCACGCTGGAATTCACTGAGCTCCTGAGAGCGACCCATTCTTTCACAAATGTTTGTAAAAACAGTCTGCATGCCTAGGTGCTTGAATTTATACACCTGTGGCCATGGAAGTGATTGGAACACCTGATTCCAATAATTTGGATGGGTGAGCAAATACTTTTGGCAATATAGCGTACATTCAATGCTTCTAAATGAAATTGTGAATCTATTATTTTTTATCTACAAACACACAATCCAACAACATGTATTGTTCAGCTTTTTTCTCAGATGAATAATAAACAGATAAATATTAGTGAAGAGAGCTTTAGATGTTATAACAAAACTTGAAACGGTCAAAATGGAAAAGAGCTCAGAGAAAAGTAAACAAACTGATGTTTACTTACAAATTCTGATCATTGCATCTTTAAATAAAAGTCAAACAAAGGGAATTCTGATTGGAATGAAAAAAAAATCTCCTTTTTTTTTTAGTATTTGACCTAAACGATCTGCTCTCAACCTTGGCTTCTTTATTTCCGCCTTTCTCTGTTATTCTTATAAACATTCCCTCCATGCAAAAGCTTTCAGGTCCAAAGTAGGAACAGAACTATAAAACTCTGACAGGTTTTTGTGTTTGTTGCGTTTTTTTTTTAGAGACGATGGTGAATCCGGGAGGCAACAGCCAGCCGCCAGCGGTGGGCACGGGGTCCCTGTCCTGGAAGCGCTGCGCAGGCTGCGGGGGTAAAATCGCAGACCGCTTCCTCCTCTACACCATGGACAGCTACTGGCACAGCCGATGCCTGAAGTGCTCCTGCTGCCAGGCCCAGCTCGGGGAAATCGGCACGTCGTGCTACACGAAAAGCGGCATGATCCTCTGCAGAAACGACTACATCAGGTGAGCGAGACGCTGAACAGCTTTTTACAGATTGGGAGAATCCGAAAGCATAAAACCATGCTGGTGAGATAATCTTTTTTTACTTCCTCTGCTTGGTACCGTTGAGACGAATCATCAATCTGTCAGTTTGAGTCTTTAACTGTTCCAAGATTAACTTACCCCAGGGTTTAAACTATATTTCTATATATTCCAGACTCATTTATCACCAGTTTTGACGCTTCATCCCACTCCCCTCCACTAAGGAGTGACTTACTTAAACAAACAAAAGTTTGGTCTATTTAACTTTTCTCTGATGCTGGTTCCTCTTTATTCTTTTACATGAACAAGACAAATTAAACTAAAACCTAAACAAATGGAAACATTAAAGGGATAGTTCGGTATTTTTGACATGAATCTGTATGGCATCACCATCACCAGTGTCATGCAATCACACTGACTTACCCCTGGCAGCGTCCTGTGAGCAGAGATCTCGTCCAGTTTTGGTCAAGCCAAAAGTAGTCTGGCAGGTTTGATAGGACCAGCGAAATAAAACGTTTCTCTTCCCAAAACATTATGTGTTCAAAAGAGTGATATTTTTGCATCCCAAAAACGTTGTAGTGGAAAAAGTCACACGTCGTTATCACTTGGTCCTATTTTCTCTCTGTTCGTATCAGTGCGCGCCGTCATTCTGACAGCGAGCTCAACAACAGCCAGATGCATGTCTCCCTCCGCCTAGCTCCTAGCTGGGCGGAGGGAGACATGCATCTGGCTGTTGTCAGGTTAGTAGGCCCTAGCTGTCAGAATGACGGCGCGCACTGATACGAACAGAGAGAAAATAGGACCAAGTGATAACGACGTGTGACTTTTTCCACTACAACGTTTTTGGGATGCAAAAATATCACTCTTTTGAACACATAATGCTAGCAAACCTGCCGGACTACTTTCGGCTTGACCAAAGCTGGACAAGAACTCTGCTCACAGGACGCTGCCAGGGGTAAGTCAGTGTGATTGCATGACACTGGTGATGGGGATGCCATACAGATTCATGTCAAAAATACCAAACTATCCCTTTAACATGGATGGCAGTAGAAAGATGCATGCAGAGGATGTAGAAATGAATACAAGTTATCGATGGAGTTTATCATCAACAACCAAGAGAAAGAAGTTAGTTTTCCATCTTACTGGCGCCAAAAGCTCCAGAGACGGACGTGTCTTAATCATCCTGCATTAATGGAAGACGCACAGATAATAAAACGGACATAAATCTCTGATAAAGATTCCGGTTACATGTCAACTTGAGCGCAAAGCTGACGTCAGGACACCATTAATGAGGGTCGGGGGGGGTGAAACGCTGAGATCTCAGGTCAGCGGCGTGTTTAAAAAGTAAAAAATGCAGCTTCTTTATTTATTTTTTTCGTTTTGTGTGAGATGCGTCAACAGGAAGGAGGAGAGAGAAAAAAAAGCTGCACAATTAATTGAAATTATAAAGTGTGCCTCTGTGCTCCTACTCCCACCCCATAAAAAGCACAGGGAAGTCAATGGGGTACTTCATTCATAATGGTACTATAACATAATTAAAACTGGAAAGAGGGATGTAAACGTTTGGGGGGGGGGACACCTTTCCACTTGTAATGAGAGAGTGCGCTTGGTGGAAGAGCTGAAAAGCATATTATGGAACGGAGAGATCTCTGCAAAGATAAAACCAGAAGTGGAGGCAATGGAGGGGGGGCATGTGACAGTGAGTCTACACAATTAAATGCTTTAATTATAGTCCCCCTCCATTTCCTTTAGTCCTGATGGGTTTTATCTAATGAGATCTGGTCCCTGGCTTGTATCCGCTACCAGTGACGTGTCCGAAATGAATGACTGCAAACAAAACATTTAATTAACCAAATTGGCTTTTGAGAGAGCAGGAGAGAAAGACGGATAGAGAGGAGGGATTATTGTGAAGGCCATTTGCTCCCCCCCCCCCCCGTCCTTTATCTTAAAGGGGCAGACTAACTTTCAGACTAACTAACATATATTCCGGGCGTAGATCTTTATCTTCTCCACTCAGAGAAGCGTCTCACAGCGTAAACCTGGTGTTGCCTCCATGCCAGAAGGTGATGTTATTTCTGCGGGTTCGCCGTCGGAGGGGGGAATTAATTTACTCGCCGCCGCGCCGGATTCAGAGAAAATGCGGCCCCGCTTTAATTGAATAAGCCAAGGTAATTAAATGGCACTTTTCCAATAGAACGTGTGAGGTAAATCTAATAGTTGGGTTATTTAATATCACTTTGAAGTCTGCCCACTCAAGCTCTATGACAGCATGAGAGAGAATGTGAACTATTAGGGGCCAGAGAGAGGAGGAAAAAAAAAAGAGGGGGGGGGATCTCAGAAATTAATTAAATCGCATGCAATTTAGAGGAAACGTTTATCTTGATTTGTCATATCAGAATTAATTCAAGGCCTTCAATTCACTTGGGGCCAGATCTGTTACTCTGAATTAACCAAGTGTAATTTGGCTGATCCCACTACCCCCCCACCCTTCACTCCAACACCCCCCCTCCCCAAACACAGACACACACAGCAACGCCATCCTCCCCAATCCCCCCCCTCCTCTCTAATGCAGCCCCTGCCATTATGCAAAGCCTCGCTTCAGTATCAATATGGCCTGGTGCTTTTAAGGTGCTTTGGCTGCTGATGTAGAGAGGCTTTTTTAATGGACTGTGTTGCAGAAATCATTGTTGTGGGGGTAATTTTACCCCACTCAAAGGTCTCGGCGAATGAGGTCCGCATTTTAGCAGACAGGCCCAGCAGCGAGCCACGCTGTATTTCAGTCGGTGCTGAAATGAAATCCAATAGTCATCGCCTGGACGGGCAGAATGGAGTTTCTTTATTTTTTTAAGCCTTGTTTGTTCTTTAATTTAATCAACAACAGATCCACTCAGAGTGATTTCCTTTTATATCATTTTGAGAGAGCAGAAACCAGATGTGTCATTGTAATTAGGAGTCCCCTTGGCCTTAATTAAGCTGACCTGCAGTGCTGACTTCACCTCTGCGCGCTGGAAGGGGGCCATTAGAGCCCAAGTTCAAAATGCTACAGCAACTTAATTGAGCACCTAAAGGCCTGGGCTCCTTAAATCAAACAGGATCCAGAGCTGCACCCCCCCACCCCTACCTTCCATCGCTGGTAAAATAATTAACCTGCTACATGTTGAAAAGGCAGCGGTGGACTCTTGCAGCCTTTGTTTCGACACCTCTCCAAAGGTTTCACGCTGAGGAAACGCCTGCGATCTCCGCACGCACGCCGTGAATCCTAAAGCCGCTTTACGTGCATGTATATTTATTTCCATACGTCCATGTTTGTCCCAGCGAGCGCCTTAAACTGGCACCGCAGCCACGAAAGTCTCCAGTTAATTAGTTTCTGGGAAATGGGAGTTTTGATGGAGTCTTTCCAAACGATGCTTCTGCCTGAGCTGTCTGCGTCTGAAAGCCGCTTTTTTTCTGGAGCTCCTTACTTGTTTGTCAGCGTAGATCAACCGGCACCTGCTCGGCGGCGGGGGAGGGGTCACAAAAGCGCAGAGAAACGATGCTACGTTTTCTTTCACGAGAATCATCCAAAAGACAAGACGTTTCTTTCCTGCTAATTTTTTTTTTTAAAGCCAAACAACTTTATCTGATCCCCCCCCCCCCTTCCAAAAAAAAAAAGAAAAAGGAAAATCCTTTTCTCCCCCCTCCTCCTCCTCCTCCTCCTCCCTCCCCTTCTCTCCGGAGCATGTCAGATGCCGTGGTCTTATTTGATTGCTTAGGAAAAGTGCAGTGATAGAGCAAACACCCAGTGAGATATGATGACAAATGGGTCCAGATCCCAGTAAATTACTTTCTGCTCAAATCGAAATTTCATTCAGTTTGCTGCTCACCGAGATAAAGTAATCTAAATTGTGGACTCAGAAGGAAGATAGAAGGGAAGCTGGAGCAAGCATTTCATTATCAAGAGGCAGAGGGGAGAGAGAGAGAGAAGGTTAGGGACGAAAGAGATGAGCAGAAGCAAATCTAAAGTGTTGACACCATGATTGAAAAGGTTAACCCATGCACATTATATATCAACCAGAGAAGCTACGGGGTTTCTAATGGAAACACGGCACTGACAGTGCATTCGCTGGAGTCCTAATGGCAAAAGCTCTGCGTCCCTGCCTGGATGTACAATCAAATCCTCTTAGCTCCTGATTTCTTATGTTCCTGCTTATTATTGGGTGGCAACAAAAAAAACGTAATATGTATTCTCAGCATGAGATGCTTGAGAAGAGCTAAAGGATTCATTTTTTTCCTGTTGATTCTGGGATGATCTTCTATCTTTTTTTCCTCTTTGAATCAGAAGCAGAAGCAGCTTTCAATCAGAAGGTTAAATCTTTTTGCAGAAAGCAAAGAGTAAAACTTCCCTCCTGCCTCCCGCAGGTTATTCGGAAACAGCGGCGCCTGCAGCGCTTGCGGTCAGTCCATCCCGGCCAGCGAGTTGGTGATGAGGGCGCAGGGCAACGTCTACCATCTAAAGGTAAGAAAAGAAAAGAACTCCGCCTTTCTTTAAACCCGAGTCTATTTATTCAGAGCTAACTGGTTCGTCTTGTTTCTTCCGAAGTGTTTCACGTGTTCCACCTGCCGGAACCGGCTCGTCCCCGGAGATCGATTCCACTACATCAACGGCAGCCTCTTCTGCGAACAAGACAGACCAACGGCGCTCATCAACGGACACTTAAGCTCCCTGCAGACGAACCCGCTAATGCCCGACCAGAAGGTGAGGCCGTGGTGGGAGGAATGTTTTAGCTTCTCACTGAGTCACAGAATGCAGGAAGAGTTTTGCAAAGCAGCGTCTCTGCTTCCATCTCTGTCAGGTAGCGGAGATTCATTTCAGCCTCGTTTTTAATCTTTAATCTGCTTCCTCCTTTCATTAATGAAGGTGTTTATTTAGATTCTGTTCATTTCATTGCGCTGGATGGTGATTTAGTCCCTTCTGGGTGTCCTGCAGAACTTTATCGCTCAGCAAAGCTACCAGAAAGCTCCTCTGTGCATCACTGTCTGCATCCTGCCTTTCAGAGACGGAGATGGGAAAGTTAGCTTTGCATCGGCTTTAAGAACCGTAGCAGGATCCATCAAGGGTCAAACTCCGACGCAAACATTCAACAGGCCCATGCAGATTATTTCGTCATCCCCGAAATGTGCCGCCAATATTTTTCTGGCCCAACTCTCCGATTTCAAATCCTTTATGTACACATAAAAAAATGACACAAAAAAAGCCTCAAATTAAACAAAAAGGAACATTTATTAACAGATTAAACCAAATGTTAACGGTTGATTGTTAATAGCGATTCATGATCTCAAGGCACGGCTGCTGAAGGCAGGAAGAAAGCTGCCAACGCACGCTAACGACCAGCTAATTTCAGCCAGAAACGTCGTCCGTCCGACGTCTCGCTCCAACTCTACAACCACCGCTAACGAAAACTCATCGTCTGTTAGCTGATCAGTTAGTGGCATAGAAGCAGAAACGCGTTTAAATTATAGCTCTGCTTTAACCTCATTGGAATATTTTGGATTATTTGACCCTGGGGCAGGGGTGGATTTAGGAAAATTGGGGCCCTAGGCAAAGACAGGCAGGGGGCCCTTTGAATTGAGAACCTAACACATAAAACAGACCCGTTCTACAGATATAATAGACATAGAATAGACATCCATTATCTGTTCTAGGTTTTGTCCCTCTCTACTTGTCCCTTTTCTACTTGTTTTAAGCCCACTTAGCTGATTGCTCCTTCCTGTGTTTCCAAAAAGGCCAAAGTAAATAACCCAGTCCTTCTTTTCACTGTAGACAAGCCATGATCTGCTTCTCTGTTCTCCATTTTTCATTTGGATGAAATAATAGCTGCATGAATCATGACAGCAGACAAGATAGAGGAGAGCAGGAGGCGGGGTTACCAATCTACTCGCTCTGGAGAGCAGAGTTCGCTGCTTTTAGATGTTGTCTCCAAAGTCTCCAGTAGCAGAAAAAAGTCTCTAGATTTGGCGCTAGGAGCTTTTTAGAAATCAAAGTGCTAGAGGGGTCTGAAAAGTGGCTAAATATAGCGACTAAAGCGCTAAGTTGGCAACACTGCTCTTTGCATGGTTTGTTTTCAAATGGTTTGCTGCTGTCTGTTTGGACCTTTCTGAACATGTGCAGCAAATGGACTGATCCAATATGGTGGACACTGAGACACACTTATTATCAGCGTTCTGATGACATTTTAGCAAAAGGATTTTCATAAAAAACATAATTAATGTGCACAAATAAGGAATAGTTGCAATAAAAATCCATGTAAACAAAGTTTTATGGGGCCCCCAGGAAGTACCTTTCCTGCAGATTTTGATGACCTTCCCCCAGCAGAGCTAATATCACTCCAAGGCTAAAAGTCTTTATACTGAGAAGTCGCAGCCAGAGAGCTGAGGGATGGCTAGTGTATCATGAGAGCTGTCATCATGGCCCCCCCAACCCGATCTCAACGCTCCGAGAGAAAACAAAACAAAAGAGGCCTAATCGTATACAAGGATGAGTCCGTTCTTCAGGATAGCATCATTCAGCCTACTGGAGATCTAATCATCTCTGCCTCAAAACAAGCCGCTTTATTGATACCTCACACACACACTCTCTCTGAGAGCGTGTCGTAGATAGACCGAAAGAGGAATCATATTATTGGGAGCATGCATTTCACCTTGAGTGCTTGTGTGAGTGGAGGAGAGGCAGAACTCCATTAAGGCCTTTTAAGGGCTTGTCACTTTTGCAGATCAGCTCCCCGAGCTCTAAGAGCTCCTCACATTTAAATTGAAAGCTGTTGTATTATCTAGCTTAATTTTAAATGTCTGTTTAAGTCCTGAGCCATTGCGCCGAGTGTCTCCGGTGGCACGGCTAGCTGTAGTAAATATGAAGCTTCATTGTTTATTTATGCTCCTGACATCAATTGTAGTGAGGAAAAAAAAAAGCGCTGCATTATTGATGCTTAAATGCAATCTGAATATTGGCCCTGGTGCTTTAATTATAGCAGAAAGGGAATATCTAAATAGACAGAGAGACGTGTTGCTCGGTGGGAGAATGATGCTGCTGCTCCGGTACTTTGGCTCACATCCAGCGGGATTTAGATGTTCTCATCCAACAAAGACGTGCAGCAGGAGGCGGGACCTCCGGATCGATAATCAGAAACGGTTTCAGAGTTGTTTTTGATCACAATCTGTTTTTATTTAATTTTTCTTCCCGATCATGGACGTTTTTCTGCTCCTTGCTTAATCTCTTTGTTCAGAGCAGACAAATTACCTCTCTGAAACAGAGCTGCTTTGACCCAGGGGAGGAAGACCCTCCCAGCGTCAGTCACTTTAATTAGCCCCCAAAGTAGGAGTTTGCAATTACTAATAGAGTGAAAGCCCTCCTAGTGATTTGAAGGATGAAGGGGAAAAGTAAATGGAGCCTTAGAATCTCTGAGAAAACAGGAGGAGAGATGAGAAAGTTTTTAAAGCAGTTTTTTTTTTAATAGTTAATTGTGTTTCCTCCCCCTGCATTTCTGTTTCACAGGCTTGAGCACCTCCTGCAGTTATGCTGGAGCGTGCTTCTAATTATACCAAAGAGAGTCGCCTCATGAAGGCACTTTTGAGTCGGTGCTAAGTAAATGGGACACCAGATGGTTTTCAAAGCCTGGCTGATTAATAAATTAAAGACTGGCGCTGGTGGAAAATGTATTTATCAGGTGGGGGAGGGATTTGACTGGGGCTGCAACTAACGATTATTTTAAAAAATCGATGAATCGGACAAAAAAATAGTTTTTATATTAAGCTCTTTATTCCAAAATAAACCTTTTAGACTAGGGATGCACGATATAATGGGCCCCCTATCGGTATCGGCCTTAAAACTGAATATCGGACATCGGCCCCCCCACCGATATTTAACCCGATATGTGATCAGCTTCTGAGTTTCTAAAGTCTAAAAAAAAAAAAAAATACTACTTCTTCTTCCTCAAAAACTTCTTTTTTACAGACTTAAAAACTTCTAAAGACGAGGGAAAAAATATTGATTCATTAAAATATCCCAATATCTTCATATGCTGATATATTGCCATTTAAAAACAACATATCAATCTCTTTTACTAATGAAATATTGCTATATGTCATCGTTATGCTACGAAATCCCCCGAAAATTCACGAGATTTTGCCATATTTTTATATGTTGATATATTGACGCGGTATCGATCTATTTTACTAACAAAATCTCACAAGAATTTGCAAAATATCACGAGAGTTTGTAACAGAACGATGAAATTTCATGAGATTTTGAAAGTAAAATAGATCGATACCGCGTTTTTAAAAATCAATTTGATATCAGCAAATGAAAATATATTTGATTATATTATTTTAAGTGTCAGAAATGGATAACAAAACTGCTATTTTCAATGACTACTTATTTTTGTCCAGCTTTAACATCGGTATCGATATCGGTTATCGGCTACATGAGTTTTAAAATATCGGCATATCGGATATCGGCCAAAATCCCAATATCGTGCATCCCTATTTTAGACGGAACAAACAAGCACACAAGTACAGGTTGCTCATTAACTGAAAAATAAATGTTTGTGTTAAAACTACGCAAACTTACATGAGAAATGTAGCTGTACATCCACAAAATATAGGCTACTTTGTTTCATAAAGCGCAAAAAAAGACATTTTTGTTTTTTAAAGCCCCTAAGGGGTTCAAACAATAGCCCCCCCATTTCAACAAATGAGTTTTTTTTAGACTAGAAGAGTTCTGCCTTTTAAGACAGGAAAGTATAGCAGTTAAAGTTGCTACTTGAGAAAATACTGAACCATAGAGAAAATAGCCCTGTGATTCAAATTATAAATTGTATTTGGAATAAAAATGAGAGAACTAGGGGTGCTAAAAAACACATCCTCCAAAGACAGATATTTACATGGGAATGTGGCAGATAATTAATTGACATATTACTGATCTTGCTGGATTTTATTCTGCTTCACTTCCATACATTGCAGGATCTTTACTTTATCTTTGCCAGAAGATTTAAACTTTAAAAGCCTTGCCCTCATAATTTGCAAGTTAATTTATTTATAAAGAAAATATAAACGCTGCTTAAGCTAATTCAAATGAAATTAAAAGTAAAATAAGTAGCCAACCTTATCACTGTCTGTAACCTACTAACACGGTAAGGAAAGCATCAGATGAGCTACCTGAGAAACTAACGTTACGTTTCCCCACTTTAAAACCAAACAAACATGGCCGCTCACCCTGCTGATCGGCTCTCTTCACGCCATCGAGGCTCCAACGTGTTTCCTTTTCAGGTGCTGCATCATAACAGTGGTGCTTCCGTTCCATGTTAATTTGTTTTTACAAAAGTTGCATGTTACGACTTTTTTCACTTTACAAAGCGCAGGCTATTTTAATTATTGTGATCAGTTTGCGCCGTCAATCCCGGCGCATGCGCGCTTCATTTGCAGTCTGGACGCTGAGGGTAAACATCCTGCGGCTCTGACTGCAGCGCTGAGAGGGACTCCTGCGGGAGAACGGGGTTGGGATGGGGGAGGCGCCCCATGGCAGAGTAGGAACTAGGGATGCAGGATATTGGGATTTTGGCCGATATGCCGATATTTAAAAACTCATGTAGCCGATAACCGATATCGATACTGATGTTAAAGCTGGACAAAAATAAGTAGTCATTGAAAATAGCAGTTTTGTTATCCATTTCTGACACTTTGAAAAATAATATACTCAAATATATTTTCATATGCTGATATCAAATTGATTTTTAAAAACGCGGTATCGATCTATTTTACTTTCAAAATCTCGTGAAATTTCATCGTTCCGTTACAAACTCTCGTGATATTTTGCAAATTCTTGTGAGATTTTGTTAGTAAAATAGATCGATACCGCGTCAATATATCAACATATAAAAATATGGCAACATTTGGTGAATTTTCGGGGAATTTCGTAGCATAACGATGACATATAGCAATATTTCATTAGTAAAAGAGATTGATATGGTGTTTTTAAATGACAATATATCAGCATATGAAGATATTGGGATATTTTAATGGATCAATATTTTTTCCCTTGTCTTTAGAAGTTTTTAAGTCTGTAAAAAAGAAGTTTTTGAGAAAGAAGAAGAAGAAGTAGTATTTTTTTTTATTTTTTTTTAGACTTTAGAAACTCAGAAGCTGATCAAATATCGGGTTAAATATCGGTGGGGTGTCCGATATTCAGTTTTAAGGCCGATACAGGCCGATACCGATAGGGGGCCGACTATATCGTGCATCCCTAGTAGGAACGATACATGCTTTCACGTAAGAGTCTCCAAAAGCCGCCAGTGACACCGTAAAAAGTCGCCAGATTTGACGCTAGTCGCTTTTTTGAGAAATAGTCGCTGGAGGGGTCTGAAAAGTCGCTGAGTTGGCAACACTGCACCTGCGGCGCTGGCTCGCTGTGCCGTATTTTTTCTTTCTTCCCCCATTTCAGTCAAGTGGCAGTGATGACGGCGCGGCGGATGACGCATTAATCGTGCAACACATCTAATCGATGATGAAATTCGTTGCCAACGCTTTTAAAAGTCGATTTTTATCGATTTTATCGATTCGTTGTTGCAGCCCTAGCTCCAACGTGTTTTCTTTTCAGGTGCTGCATCGTAACAGTGGTGCTTCCGTGCCATGTTCATTTGTTTTTACAAAAGTTGCATGTTACGACATTTTCGCCTTACAAAGCGCAGGCTGTCTGCGAATTGAGGCGCAGCTTGCGTTTGCGGTATCGGTCATTAGAACAGTTGACGTTACTGCCTTTTGAAAACAGCCTTTGCTCACCTGCGATGCTGGTCAAGTGGCAGTGATGACGACGGCGGCGGATGACGCATTAATCGCGCGACACAACTAATCGATGATGAAATTCGTTGCCAACGCTTTTAAAAGTCGATTTTATCGATTTGTTGTTGCAGCCCTAGATTTGACACTTTGTTTGAATGTATGATGGTCTGATATCTTTCTTAAATTGTCTTTGTTTTGTTTTTCTGTCCTGGTGTAGGTGTGTTAGGGGGGGAGCTGTGTGCAGGAAGCAGGATTTGTGCCTTCATTTTACTCATCGTCACCTGAGACGGCGTGGATCAGCAGCACCCCAGCCTCTTAGCTCTGCTCCCTTTCGCCCCTAAAGGAAATCCTCCACCCATCTAACCAGAAACCCCCGATTCTCATCTCTGCAAACCCCACACCCAACCCCCCCAGCCTTTAAAACCTCGGCTTTTACCCCCAAACCTGGGAGGATATTTTGCACTTATTGCTGAGAAGAGACGCGTGGGACGCTTTGGAGTTTAAACACTGATCACAATCAGAGCGGGGGGGGGGGGGGGACTCCTGCCGCCGAGAAAATGAAACTCGCTGAGAAGGACGTCGTGACTGAGGAAAGACAAAAAGAGTTGCAGACTTTTCAATGCTGCACATTTGTTTAAAGACAATTTTTTGGGGGAAAAGCGGGAACTTTTCTTTCTTTCCTCTCTTCCTTTTCTATCCTCATTTCCCACAAACATGGTGATTTCACTTTCTATATTTTAAGTGTCGTCAAAGGAGAATCGTCTTCTCTTTCTGCTTTTCCTTTTGATTCATATATATATATATAAATGTATATATGAACGGAGTAAAAAAAAAAAAAGCTATCTGTGGCATTTTGTGGAAAAACGAATCATGAACACTTGTGGTGTATTTGTAAAGCTACCATATATGTACAGTATGCATGTAAATGTTGTCGTCCAGGCGTGGCTACAGTACATCCCCCCCCCCCCCCGCCCCCTGCATCCAGCTCCTCCCCTTCCAACTGTGGCAACCTGAAGAAATCTGCTCATAGTCAGTAATGTAGATATCATTCCCAACGTTCAAATGCTGAATGAGAGAGAAATTTATTTGGGATATTTTTCCGAGACATTTGCTCCCGTATGGTGTATTTAATTAATAAAAGTATTGGAAGATTTTAAAGCCTCCTCCTTTTTATTGTGTCAGCTCACATCTATGAACAGCATTTATGTAGATCGGGGGGGAATTTACGATTAGGCAATAGACAGTTCTAACCTGAGGGCATCTGGAAACCTTCTGTTGAAGTAATTTTGTGAAGGGGCGAAAATACTGGTTAGCTGATTGGCCTATGTTGGTGATAGACGGGCCAAATAAACCAATCAGATCAACGAAGCATATGACGTACTAACAGAGCGACGACGAAAACACAACCACAAGCCAGGCTACTCTTGATGAAACCAGTCAGGAGAAGAGCAAAAACATCTTTCCCTCTGAGAAAAGCCTCCAGAGCAGTGTTTTGCTCTTCTTTCAGTGAAGAAATACTCTGTAATTCCCATAAAACTTGCTCGATAGCCACGCTAACGCTAGTTTCATCGGCTGAAGCCGCCATGTTCTTTAGACTGAACTGTTGCGCTTCTCGTTGCGTCACACCTCAACCCGCCTGTCCAACGCTGATTGGACGTTCGTTTGGTGAACGGCTCCGAATTTTCTTCAACGGAGAGTCTCCAGACTGATCTGCGAGTGAAACCTTGAAAGCTCGCGAGATCAGGATGGTCTCACCAGGCTAAGACAGTTCCTGTATGGTTAATACAACTATTCCTTATTTGTGCACATCAATAATGTTTTTTATGAAAATCCTTTGGCTAAAATGCCATCAGAATGGTTATAACATTACCTGTGTCTCGGCTCCCCCTTCAGTGTCCACCATATTGGATCAGTCCATTTGTTGCACACTAGAGACTGACATTTTTTCGGGAATCCCACGGGTCACGGGATTCCCGTGGGATGGGAGTCAGTATTAGTAACGATCACGTAATTGGGACGTTACAGGTTTAAACATTAACGGGAGCAGACGGGAGCGGGAGCAAATCAATAGTAACTAAAAAAAAAATAGGATCGATGCCAAAAAAAAATTACAAATAGAAAGAAAAAAAAATCCAGTACTGGCGCCGCCATTTTGTAGTTTTTTTCCTTGAAGCCTACACTATAATGCAAGTCAAAAAAACTACACAACCCAAAAACCAACAGTGCTTCCGCACACAACAAGAGTGGTGCAGGAGCGAGAGTAATTTCACCAGGAGTGGGACAGGACAGGATTTTGATTTTTACTCTGGCCCGGGATCGGACACAATTTTTTTCTGTGGGAGTGGGACGGGACAGGAGTGAAAATCCACTCCCGTGTCAGTCTCTACTGCACATGTTCAGAAAGGTCCAAACAGACAGCAGCAAACCATTTGAAAACAAACCATGCAAAGAGCAGTGTTGCCAACTTAGCGCTTTAGTCGCTATATTTAGCCACTTTTCAGACCCCTCTAGCACTTTGATTTCTAAAAAGCTCCTAGTGCCAAATCTAGAGACTTTTTTCTGCTACTGGAGACTTTGGAGACAACATCTAAAAGCAGCGAACTCTGCTCTCCAGAGCGAGTAGATTGGTAGCCCCGCCTCCTGCTCTCCTCTATCTTGTCTGCTGTCATGATTCATGCAGCAATTATTTCATCCAAATGAAAAATTATGTATGAAATGATTCCATCCTGTTCAATAAATGATCAGTGTTTTTAATTCAGAGTAATTTTCATGTGAATGTGCTTTACTGGAGGCATCCATGTTTGTCAAAGAACACTACTGCCACCTACTGGTTTGTGATGTCACGGTGCGGTATCGGCTGTTGATCAAGTCCCAGTGCTGTATCTGGTGTTTGTCACAACGCGCTATTATCCAAGTCATCTTGAAAACATTCTTCTTCCAAATGTTGGCTACATATTACGGGTTTTTTCTCTGGCTAGAAGTTCGATGGCAAATCCTCCCTCTTCAAGTTGGCGATCCAACGACCAACCCGTCCGTGGAGGATCAGGAATCAGAAAGGTGAGGTGGAGGATTGACAGGACCCAAATGCAGGCACGAAAGCTGAAGTGGTTTATTGAAGTTTTAATAACTAAAAGGGTTACGGAAGCAAAAATAAAATAAAAATACTGAAAACCAGGAATACAACAAGAGGGAAATGAATGACAGAAATGATGACAAACCAGCAAAGAGTGACTGAACAGGGGCAGAATATATTATAGAGAGAAACAAAGACCAGGCTAATTAGCAGATTGGGAGCAGGTGTGAACAGAGGCAAGAACGGAGCTAGAGGAAAAGGAGACTGACACAAGAGGGAAACGAATATCTAAGAACTCAAATACAATCAAAAATAACTACAACACAAAAATGGAAATAAGACCAATGAAAACTCAGAGATTAAACTTGAACAGAACCAAAACAATGACAGAAATTTCACTTTTCCTCGATGTATTCCAGCTGCCATGCACATGGGCATTGTCAGTTTCACTATAGCTCTGGTGAATTTCAATGGTGAAGTCCTCTGGAAATCTTCAATAGTTGTTGTTGATTGCAGATGTGTCTAGTAGTTCCCATTGATTTAGCTTGTAAAGCGGGGAGAATGGCGCTAGGCTTACCGCACCGTGACGTCACTGCTGGAAGATGGCAGGAGGGAGGCGTTACTATATTTGGGCAAAAATGGCCGCTCCCAGACTCAGTGATCACGATGGGAAATATTGTTCAAATTTTTTTACTGATTGACCCTAAACTAATTAAATCACAGCAAACGTATTAGTTTTAGGTATAAATAAGGATCCATTGACCAGACTTTTCCTATAAGCACTATAATAGTATCAACAAAACATTTAGTGTGTAACGCCTTTTATATTACGGTAGCAAAAATAACACGTAACCATTACTTTACAGAGATGATTCAAATACTTCCCACCTAACCATCAGGGTTGGATGTAACATGTTACGCCTCATCCCCCGACAGTGATGGTTAGCTTGGTAGTTTTTGAATCGTCTCTGTAAAGTAGCTTGAGTTGACGAGTGTTGTTAATTGGTGCTGTATAAATACATTAAATAAAACAGGTTTTTACTACATATCAAATCACACAGTTTAATTTGAGTAAAATCTGATGCAAGTTCTCCTACATTTCTTCATCTTCAGTGATCAACTTTTGTTTTGTCAACAGTTCCTCCCACCTGAAGTCATGGACATTCGCAGCCCCTCCAGAGTTGCCATAGTCCTTCTCGCTGTTTTTTTACAGAAGATCCCCTCGATACCTCAATCCTATAACCAACTTCGCAGTCATCAAGGCGTCCATGATCAGCGCCTAACTGAAAATGGATAAACATGTATCCGCTCTTTCTATTCAGATGACCGTTTGCTATTCATCACTCTAATACCTGGCAGAAATGGAGGAAAATGTCCCTTTGAAGATTCAATTACTGCAGAGAGGGAGAGAGGTGTCTCTCTTTGGTGGGCACAAATTGAATGGGCTATTTGCAGAACAAATTGGTGTTTGAAGTCCTTGCAAGACCTAATAGGTCTGAAGGAGGGACCCGGTAATAGCTGATGCACTTATCTGCACAGTGTGTAGCTGCCGGTGAGCCTCGGCGCTGCTGATGAAACAATGCTGTTGCTGTATAAAAGCAGACTTTGATGCAGAAATCAGCTCAAGTAGGAGAGGAAATGGGACTAAAGAGTAAACAGAATCTTGGGTTCTAAATTGAAATTTCATGCAAGAGGGGATGTGCTCTCAGCCTCATGGGTTTAGTGGTAGATGAGCTGATTCTTGAATGGCCGAGCCTGAACCTCCAAGGTAAGTAACCATTTTTGGATTAGATTCATTTAGGATTGTTTAGAAGAGGCAAAAAGCTGTTTATAGTTGTTTTTTTTAGCCTTTTCAGAGGTGCGATATTTAATATATAGTGTTATGCTTTGGATAAAATGATTCGATTTTAGGTAAATAAAAAATATAAATCAAGCAAGATGGGAGGACGATGACTAATTTGGAAGGTATTGGAGAATAAATTGACATAAATAGACATTTGTTAAAAAGTCATCAGAACATTTCTTTGTGTTTTTTTCTTTGACTTCCTCCCGTTTCTTCAGAAATCTACAATCATCTTGCTTAATTTGTTCACATATACTAGAACCCTTAGACTCCCAAACTATGGATTGTTTCCAGGGGTGGAAAGTAATGAATTACATTTACTCAAGTTACTGTAATTGAGTACTTTTAGTAGTAGTTTTTGAAATATGTAATTTTTACTCCAGTGAATTTTAACCTAAGTAGTTTTACTTTGCTACATTTAAAACCCCCTCATGTTACTGAGCTTCGGAAGATGGCAGCTGCTAATCACCAGTGTTGGGAAAGTTCTCTTTCTACGTGAACTAGTTCAAAGTTCAGTTCACACATTTTAAAATGAACTAGTTCAGTTCATAGTTCATAATTCAAAATTTTGAACTAAGTTCAAAGTTCCAAAAAATGAACTAGTTCATAGTTTTTTTTCATATATTGCTCCATTACACCATAGCCTACTGTAGAACCACAGACAGCAATTATTTTATCAGTTGTAACTCTGAAACTGTGCGTCAGATTTCATCTTCATATCCAGTTTTGAATCCTTATCCAACCAGGGTTTACATTAGCATTGAGGGGACAGCATTTCCCCATTGTTGCTTTAATGCTTTGTTGCTGTCCATTCACTTCACACTAGTAGCAGCTGCAGCTTTCACCCCTACAGTATATTCTCAAAAACATCAGGAAAAATGTGCTGCTTGAATGGTCTTTTTTTCTGAGGAATTACTAAAAGAAAAACAGGAAAGTAGTCTTTAAGGTGCAAATGTTTTTTTTAATGTTAATAATTTTTTCAGTTTGAAATTCCATTTTAGTACATACTAAAAAGGAATCCTGGAATCCTGGAAAATTATACCAGGCAGGTTTACATGAATAGTAAAACCCTCAAGAACATTTTACTAACACAAACTGAGGGACCAGGCTGAGGTGGGAATTTAAGGTTACTGAAGTGCGGATTTTTTTACTGAAAGCCGGCGGGCAAACTTGTTGCCATCATCCTCACCGACCACCTGGTCATAAACCTGTTTTAAGTGATCATACTGCTGCTTTGTCGCC